GCCCCCTCCCCCACCGAGCGCAGGCCGCCCCGAGGGCCCGGGGTATTTTTAGCGTGGTGACCTGGGCAGCAGCTCTCTCAGGAGCCTTTCCCAGGAATCGGCGTCACCGCCCCCTCCTCCGCGGCACGCGCGCCGGTGCTGTGCTCACACTTCCCGGGCCCTGCCCGTCCTGCCCCAGCGCCCGTGGAGCGGCGGGTCTCGGATCAGACGAGCCCAAGGGCGGGTGGGTGGGGAGGGCAGGCTGCTAAGGATGCCGAACGCCTGCACCTGGCACTAGAAACTTCCGCTGCCCTGGTCGCCGGCTCCAAGCAGAACCTGGGATGAGATTGAGTGAGTGGGGGTGAAAGTACAGCCCCCTCCCACTGAGGCTTGAGAGGCGGGTCTGACTTGAACCTGGACCCGCCCTTGCAATTGCTACTCACGGGGGAGAGCTGTGTCACCGGTGAGGCTCTTAGAGAGCCGCAGGAGTTGGAGGAGGGAGCACCCACATTGACATCGCACCCGCACCCGCGGTGCCTGGTGTTTGGGGCAGGTAGGCGGATTGTGCTCCCTTTCGATGGATGGGGAAAACTGGCTTCTCAGAGACAGAGCCCGGGCTGGACTCAGGTCCAGTGACTCCCGAGCAGAGGTTCCGAGTGGGTGTTGGTGATAGGGGGTGTGCAGAGAGGAGGAGGGGGAGAAGGTCCGGAGGGGTTCAGCTGTGAGATTCTGGAGGATAAAGGGCTTGGAGCTGCACCCTCCCTGGAGATCTCCATCCTCTCTCTCCCGGGCTTGGGACAGGACAGAGAGTGGGGGCACGGTCCTTCAAAGTGCCCCCCTCAATTTGAACTGGGCTGATGCTGCCGACCCCTCTCTGCCCGGGCAGGCTAGTGAGACTTGACCATTGGTGCCTTCCCTGAATACAGAGGAGTCTCTTCAGCCGTGCCTGGGACTGGCAGCCCCTTTGTGGAGATGGGCCGGTGGCCCCGCCTCTGCCTGCGTGGGATGGGCTTGGTTTCCAGGGAAGGACCAGGAGGTGGCCAGGCAGGAACCTGAGGACTCAGCAAGCATTGCTGGGATACTCGCTGCAGCAGGGGGCCCCTGAGCACAGGCCCTCGTGTGCGCAGACACACTCACAGGTGTGTTCTCCCCTGTGCTGTGCTCCAGGAGCTGACATGGACCCCGGGCCTCGCACAACCTTGGAGCGCCAGCAGCAGCTCCGCCTTCGGGAGCGGCAGAAATTCTTTGAGGACATTTTACAGCCAGAGACTGAATTCGTCTTCCCTCTCTCCCACCTGCACCTGGAGTCCCGGCGACGTGAGTACTGAGGACTGAGGAGAGGGGACCCAGGCCTGAGAAGGGAGTAGAGAGGATCCGGAATCCCCTAGGGCTTCCTTGGCCCTCTAAACATCTCTCCGGAGACCAGGCAGGTGTCTTACTTCTCCAATAGCCTGGGGCCTCCTGACCTGTCTCCTCCTTGTCGGCAGCACCCATAGGTAGTATCTCATCGATGGAAGTGAATGTGGACACGCTGGAACAGGTGGAACTGATTGACCTTGGGGACCAGGACGGAGCAGATGTCTTCTTACCTTGTGAAGACCCTCCACCAACCCCGCAGACGTGTGGTAAGCTCTCTGCTCGCCAGAGTGGGAGGCAGGGGCTCTGAAGTCAGGCCTCCAGGCTACGCAGGGAAGTCACGGGTGGGCTGGAAGAGGATGTTGTACCAACCAACCAGCTGCCTGCTCAGATTTTAGGGAAGTGAGCCCTGAGGGGAACTGGGTCACAGATCCCCAGTCCAGGGGTCTAGGACTGTCCAATCTCTGCCTTGGTTAATGTCACACGTGAAGAACGAATGTCATTAAGTATCTATTGTAGTCCAAATAATGTGAAAATGAGATTTCCACACTGCCCATCATAAGCAGTTCTGGTCGTGATAACTGTGTTATCATGTCCCCTGCACTTCTGGGTTCCTGATACCGTGCGGAAGAACATGTATGACTGCTGTCCTCACATTCCCCCCTCCCTCCCATTTTGTAAAGAAGGCAGTCTGGCTACTTCACTTACAATATAGAGTTGCTTCTTGCTCATTTTAGACAGCTACTTGTCTCGATGGCCCTACTCTAGCTAGACATTTTAAAAAGTCTTTTATCCTCAAAGCCCTTCTGGAATTCAAGGAGGCTTTAAAAGTTTGTGGAAAAATAGAATAAAAAAGTACATTTCCCACAATTGGCTGCCTGACCTCAGAGCCCAGACATGGTGGAGTGCAGCAGAAGGAGCTGGCGCCAGGACAAAGGCCTTCATCCTGGCTTTGTATTGGAATGACCCAGTGACTTTGGGAAAATCTGTCCCTCTCGGGGCCTCTAGCTACCAGATGAGGAAACCGACCAGATAATCTCTAGTTGTCTGAGCAGCCCTGCCCATTCTCTGTGGCCTGACCTGCTCTTCTCTCTGGACAGGGGTGGATGGCCATTCAGAGGAGCTGAGTCTGCCAATGGCCACATCCGACAGGGCCACGTCTCGGACCTCGTCCTCGTCCTCTGACTCCTCCACCAACCTGCATAGCCCAAATCCGAGTGACGGGGGGGCAGCTACACCCTTGGCACAGTCCGATGAGGAGGAGGATGGGGCTGATGGAGGGGCAGGGCCGGGGGCCTGCAGCTAGCGGTGGGCCCCTGCCAACGTACAGACTGACCGATGGGGCTCAGTGTGGCCCTTCTCCACATTGAGACCTAGGCCCCGTAGGAGCCCTGGGGAAGCAGCCCAGACTCTTCTTGCAGTAGGCGCTCGAGGGAGGGGGAGGGTGGTGGATTGGTGTGCCTTTTTGGAAATTAATCCCCTCCTGCTTTACTGCTAACCTTTCCCTGCAGTGACCCTTTCACCAGTTACCCCCGAAAAGAGGGCTTGCAAGCGAGGAGGTGGATAAAAAAATAGGACAAGATGTCACTCCTTTTCTCAGCACGTCCCCTTCCCCAAACTATCCTGCAGTCCGCTACTAGGCTCCCCTGAAACACTGTCTCCAAGTGGACGGGACTCCCTAGCACTTCTATGGAGGTGGTGCTCCAGCCTCCCTGACTCCTGACAGCCCCTTGGGAACAGGGCACAGTATGAGCAATAAAGAAATACTACGTGGACCTGCCACCTCATTGTCCACCTGGCAAAGACAGGAAACCCACTGTGCTGCTGTTGCTCTCCAGCCACTACCACGTCCTCCTCACTCACTCCATTTATTTAAGAAGTATTTATTGAACGCCTGCTGTGTACAAGGCATTCGGAATGTAATTCCGAACAAGACAGGCTGTGTCCCTGCCTTCATGGACAGAGAGAGTGCCGCAAGGACTGTCACTCATGGGACGGGCAGCACAATGGGCAACTACCCCGGGACCAGAGCGTCACGGCTCCTCAGCCCAGTCTGTGCGGCCACTGATGCGGGCCGAGTTTTCAGCTAAGGTCCGAAGGATGAGTCAGAGTTAGGCAGGGGCTGTAATTCGGGCAGGAAGCAGTTTGTGGAAAGACTTTCACGGCAGAGAACTTAGCACTGAGGAACCAGACAGACGCTCAGCACAGCTGATGGTGGGGAATTTGAGGAGGGAGGTTAGGTCCTCCACTGCTGACTGGCAGATGAGCAGTTCAAGCCCATCAGCTGTTCACAGGAAGCAGGATGAGGCAGTCTGCTTGCATAAAGATGTGCAGTCCTAGAAGCCCCATGGGGCAGTTCTCTGTGTGACCCTCTGCGGTTGTTGAGCATGGCATCGGCCTGGCAGCAATGGATTAGTAAGTGATGAAGGGAGACGTAAGATTGGCAGAGGGTAGGTCGTGAAGTGCTTCGAGCCTGTGCCAGGTTTTGATTTAACTGCTAGTTAAAAAGGGAGTGGGGCTATCACTGACATAGATATAAATGCCTTTTCTCCTCTAAGAGTTGGAAGAGAGGCAATACAGGGCTGTGAGCCAGCTCCACAGTAAGTGGCCACACAAGCACCCTCTTTGGCTCATTTTGCTCAGCCACCCAGGGCACAGCACTGGCACGCTCATGGGCAACAGCCATCGTGTCCTTGAATCTGGCAGAAAGCAGAAGAGATTGGGGGTGGGCAAAAGGGGCAAAGCCAGCTGTCTTCTATTTGACTTTTGTATACGTCCTAACCGTGCCACTTACTTTCGTATCACGGTCCAGAACATAACAGATGTTTCCTTTGTACACATTGTATAAGACACAGGGACACACTGCATTATCCAGAAGAAAGGCAATTCTGACTTTTCAAAGGCCAATGATCCCTCCAGGTCCCACAATGACCAGCTCATCTCCTTTCTAGACTGTGTCAAATCACCTTACTAGGCAGCGGGGAAAGCGAGTCCTTGAGCCAGGCACACTTGTCCTGCAGAATCAGAGTGGTCACTAAGAACTCGAGTGCGGTAGTCATTGCGTAGGTCGCTCGTGCTAGATGTCAGTGTGAAGGGGTTTGAACTTCATCGAAAGTCATGAAGGGTTCCCAATGGTTGAGTTTGCCTGTTAAGAGAATTCTGAGTGTAGTATAAAGAATATACTAGAGGAACACAGGTTTTTAGACAGATAAATGATAGTAATCCTTGCAAGAGAAATGGCAGCCCCAGAAGACAGTGGTGATGGTTAGCTTAACTGGGTCAGTGCATGCTAGATGCCAGTATCATGTACAAGACACTGAGCATGGCTTTGGGTGAGCAAAAAACAAAGATACTGCCCCTGCTTTAACGGAGCATACAATCTAGTGGGGACCTGAGTGTAAAATTGCAACTATGCGTAATGCTAAGGAATGACTAGCTTGCTTAGGTTACCAGATGTTTCCCTTGAGGAAGTGACATTGGAGCTGAGAGTTGAAGGAGAAGGGTATGGGTTAAATTGTGTCCTTAAAAAAAAAAAAGGCGTCGTAAATCCTAAACTGTCTGCCCATGGCTATATAATCCTGTTAGAAATTGTCTGGGCTATGTCCATGAGCCAGGCTTAGAGCAGGACGTGTTTTGAGTCAATCTCTTTTGAGATACACAAGAGATGAGACAAAAGCCAGTAAGCAGAGAAGAGAGATGCCAACCGGAGCAGCTGCCCAGAGACAAGGACTCCAGAGCCAACACGAAGTCCCCCTAGAACTGACACCCTAAACTCAGACTCCTCACCTCCTTGACCTGAGAGAATAAATGTGTGTCTGTGATGGCCATCATTTGTGGTGTTTCTGTTATATCAGCACAAGATAGCTAAGCCCATTGAGAACCATGAGGGAGGAGTCCTGTCAACAGGAACCAAAGACGTGGAAACCGTGTTGGAATTGGGTATTGGGTGGAGGTTGGGAGAGTTTCGACCTCACTTATCTCGAAGATACTGTTGGTAGGATGTACGATGCCAAAGGCAATTCTGGTGAGTTCGCAGCTAGAGAGAAAAGTCTCTGCCATCTTAGAGGATATATACAGTGCCAGCAACTGAAATTTGCTAGAAATTACATTAAACGTGTTTCTGGTAAGGCTTTGAAGTGACCATATGATTGGACAGTGGAGGAAGGGTGACGCTGATTATGCAGTGCCAACGAACTGCACTGCATGACGTCCAGGCGTTGAGGAAAGTAGAATTTATAAGTGATGGATTTGGGTGTCTGGCTGATGAGGTTTCTAAGGGAAAAAGGGCTGGGTGGCTCCTCGCCAAACGTGAAGGAAAGAGACAAGCTTTAAAATGAACTGTGCGGGCAATGAATGTACAAATGCGCTTTACACAACTGATGTGTGTATGGATAGTGATAAGAGTTGTATAAGCCCCTAATAAAATGATTTAAAAAATAAAATGAACTGTGCAAAATGAAAATAGAAGGTAAAGATTTGGAGAATTCTGTTGTACAAACTAAGAACAAGTCCTAGAGTGTTCATGGAGGACGTGGCTGTACACTTGTTTTATTAAAGGTAAGATTTGGCCGGTGGCCCACTGGTGTATCTACCTAGGATCACAGCGGAAACCCATCCGCTCAGACTGCAGCTGAAGGAGTTACTGCTGTCCACCAGGAAAGGGCAGTTTCATGGAACAACTTGGCCACCAGCAAACTGATCGAAGGGACACAGCAAGCAGGACCTCCTGCCTCCCAAGGGGTGAAGCCATAATCCGCTGGGTTTCAGAGAGTTGGATCTTTGCCAACTCAGTTCCTGGGTGCTGGGCTGTTGTTGCCTGGCAAGGATGGGACCACCTCCCCCAGGTGAGGCTGGAAGAAGACCCAAGGGTCAGAAGGCTGGACGGGGTTGAGATACTGGGATCCCTGCTCACATGGACTAGGGGAATGGGTCCACCCAAAGCCAGGGAGCAGAGTTGTCTCAGAAAGCCTGGAGCCCAGGGTTTAGGGGTCCACCTGGAATCCAGAGGCCATGGCCAACACCCAGTGTCTGGTGGATGAGTCTGAGAAGAGGAGGGTTTTCCAGGGGCGAGAACTCTGGAATTTGGGCTTGCATGGAGCCAGTAACGGTCCCTTCCATTCCTCCCATCGGCAATGGCGCCTTGACAGCAGTGCTTTTGGGAAACAAACGACTTGTGGTCCAGATGTTACAGGTTTGCGCATGCAGGGGACATTTGACCCAGGATGGATAAGCCATAGGCCTCGTGCATACCAATTTGGATGATTCAGAAGCTGAGATTCAGAGTGAATGCTTTGCGTGTGGGGAAGATGATGGATTTAGGGGAGCCAAAGGATAGAATCCCAGAGATTGAATTGTCTCTCAGAATGATGTGTTTGTAAAACCTAACCTCTATGCCTGCAATTGCAATCCCTTTTGGGACTGGGTTGTCTTTGTTATGTTAATGAGACAAGATTTTGGAGGGTGTACCTTGAGTCCATCTCTTCTGAGATCTAGATGAGATTAAAGGCAAGCTAGCCGGCAGAGATGGGGGAAGAGGTGTACTGAGCCCAGGAGATGTACAGGTGGCCCAGGCGTCGAAGCTGAGAAATTGGACCCTCCTCTAGAACTAACAGGGAGAGGAAGTCTTTTCCTAGATCTGGTGCCTAAAGCCAGACTTCTAGCCTCTGAAACTGTGAGAAAATAAAATTTCTGTTTGTCTAAGCCACCCACTTGTGGTATTTCTGTTGTATCAGCATGAGATTGCTAAGACATGAGTAGGAGTCAATCAGGAGAACAACTAATCAAGGCTCCTTGTGCGGTCTAATTAGAGGGGGCCCCAGTGGATGCTGGGATGCGGGAGATGGTTGCCTGCCTAACACAACAAGACGACTGGAAGACTCCTCCAGACAGGGTCGGAGAAAGCCAGGTTTGCGAAGATCATCTATTTGGTTTGGGCCATAGTGAGTTAGAGGGGCCAACTCCCTAATCAGCAAGGTAAGCACAGACTTGATGCTTACAGACCAATCTGTATGGAACCGTTTCACATGGGTTTTACCACGTCTTCGATGGGAAGAGCATGAAACTGTCCACTACAGTAAAACCAGGTTCCGCAGTCCTCCGTCCCTGTCAGGATAGACAATCGGACGAGGCTCTGATCCTGTAAGGAGCCCCGGTGGCAAGGTGGTTACAAATTGCGCTGGGATCCACAGGGTCCGCAGGTCAACACCACCAGCTGCTCTGAGGGAGAGGCGGCTTCCTATTGAGGTACACAGTTACAGCCTCAGAAACCCACAGGGGCAGTTCTGCCCTGTCCTACAGGGTCGCTGTGAGTCAGCATCGTCTCCATGGCAGTGAGGTTGGCTTTTTGGTTTGGTTGGCCCTGAGACACCAGCAACGGGATCAGTGACTAACCTTGAAGCTCTTCGTGCCACCCAGGCTGAAGGACAGGGCTGGCTGCACCCCTCTCAGAGTCCCATCTCACCCCCACCCCTGCAGGGACCATTGTAAGGGACCGCTGCTAAGGACTTTGGCAGTCCTGGTGAGCCACTTGTGGGAGCGCCAGGGACGTGGACGCGTCTACAGGCAGAGCTCACCACTGACCGTCCCGCCTGGAAGCTTGTGGCCTGAATGCTCTTTGCCTGCAAGCCTATGCATCCAAGCTGAGATCATTCCTCACGCTGGGCTAGCGCCCAGGCTCCGGTTAACCTTTGGGCTTTTCTGGGTTCCTTTGGCTCTGCTGCACAGAGAGGACAGTCTCTTCTCTGGGGTCTTCTCCACTCCCCTGCGGTAGAGGAGCAAGGGACTCCCTCCTGTGTGACAGTGACTGAGCCTCCCACTGCCCCCCAAGGCTCTGCAGGCTTCTCAGCTCTCAAGTGTACCCCATTGCCCTGAATGACAGAGTTGCTCTGTGTGTGGGTGGGGGGGCTGTCATCGCTGTGCTCATAAGCCCATCGTACCCCAGGCACACGGGGCAAGGATCTTCGAGGGAGAGGGGTCTTGAGCCCGCTTGAGAGGTGGAAGTGAGTGTAGGCCTTTGGGGAGCCTTCCCTTCGGCTGCCAGGAGTCCCAGCCTGGGGAAATGCCAGCTCTGACCCCAGGACCACTTCCTGGTTGGGACAATGACCTCCCTCTGCCAAACCACTTCAGAGCCAGCATCACCAGCTGACTGGTTGCCCTGGGAGATAGGAAGATGGTTTGGAGCCAACTCCAAAGACAAGGAACCCAGGATTCGGCCCTGGGAAGAATGGGGTGACAGGCATACCCTGGCCTCCTCAGGCTCCTTGTCTGCCATCACAAGGGGGAGTCGGGAAGTAAGGTGAACAGCCTGAAGCCGAGTCCTGTGACCTGGATGGCAAACACACCTCCACCCTCCAAGCTGTTTATTTGTCTATTTATTTATTACCAGTTCTGACCCCTGCTGTCCCTTCCCCTGGGTCTCTCTACTTCCCTCCTGGGTTCTGTCATGTGTTGCCATGGCAACATGCCTCCCAGGCAATATGCATGCTTTTGGAGTTTGTGAGGGGACTTCAAAATATTCCTGGGGGGAAAAATGGAGTGACAGATCAGGAAATTTTTAACAAACTTTTTGAAGCTCCCTCTCCTAGGAAGGGAGAAACAGGTTACAATTCAGGATCAAGAATAACTCAGGAAGGGGAGTGTGGATTGGGGACCCAAAGCCCATCTGTAGGCAAGTGGACATCTTACAGAAGGGTTGCGGGGAGGAGACGAGCCAGTCAGTGCAGTGTAGCAACGATGAAACATACAACTTTCCTCTAGTTCCTAAATGTTTCCTCCCCACCCCACTCCCACTACCATGACTCGAATTCGACCTTGCAAGGCTGGCTAGACCAGAGGATGTACACTGGTACAGATAGGAACTGAAAATCCAGGGAATCCAGGGTGGATGAGCCCTACAGGACCAGTGTTGTGAGTGGCGAAACAGGGAGGGTAGAGGGAGAGTGGGTAGGAAAGAGGGAACCGATTACAAGGAACTATATGTGACCTCCTCCCTGGGGGACGGACAACTGAAAAATGGGTGAAGGGAGACGTCGGACAGGGCAAGATATGACAAAATAACAATTTATAAACTATCAAGGGCTCATGAGGGAGGGGGTAGCGGGGAGGGAGGGCAAAATGAGGACCTAATGTCGGGGATTTAAGTGGAGAGGAAATGTTTTGAGAATGATGAGGGCAATGAATGTACAAATGCGCTTTACACATTTGATGTGTGTATGGATTGTGATAAGAGTTGTATAAGCCCCTAATAAAATGATTAAAAAAATAAAAAAAGAATAAGAAAAAAAATAAAATAAAGAATAAGTCAGGAGACAGTTCTTCCACCAGGACAACCTTTTCTCAGCCACGCCCCCACACAGGCTTCTCTTTGGTAGGAAGGAAAATCGAGATCCACAACCCAACGGTGATTCCTGTGCCTACACCTCTGTTGTTATTTTTTTAACCAGTTCTGACGCCAACTGTCTTTCTCATGGCACCTTCTTCTTTGCTGGGTTTGATAAATCCTGTCGTCACCACTCAGAAGTCACAGACAAGACACATGAATGTGGGTTTCAATGGGGAATTAACAAGTGACAATTCAGGATCAGAAACAACTCAGGATGCAGTTCTTCAATCAGGCCAGCCACTCCCCAGCTGTATCTACAACCAGACCTCTCCTCTCTGTGGTGCTCCGCCTGCCGTGCCCTACTCTTCTGGCTCTCCTAAAGAGTGCCCAGAGGCACCCCATTCCACTAGTAAGCTTTGGGCTGAGCTGCTCAACTTCCTCCCTCTGCCTCTAGGCTCACTGAGCTATCTCCTGGTGGCTGGTGGTCTGGCTAGGCAACCACCACTTCTCTGCTCCTGCTGCTGTTTGCTGCCTTTCAGTCCCTATGAGGATCCAGGGTACCTCGTCCACTTCTGGCTCCTCTTTCTAGGTGGTTGTGAGATTCCCCTTTTCTGCCTCTGGGCCAGCTCGTGTTAAGCCTGTGGAGTCACAAAACTGACCAGTCCCTCTGTTTCAAATCCATACACCTTATTTGCATGTTCCCACCCCCACAAGGATGCGCCTGTACCTTATTCACATTATGAACAAGCTATCGAGTCGCCCTGTAGGCCACAAGGAGCTCACATTTGCGCAGCTTAAGAGCCGGGCAGGTGTGGCGGGTTATCCGTTGGGCTGCTAACTGCAAGATCAGCGATGCAAAACCCTCAGCTGCTCAGAAGGAGAAAGATTCGCAGTCTTGGAAATCTCCAGGGGCAGTTCTCCCTGTCTCACAGGGTCTGTCTGAGTCAGAGTGAGTGAGTACCCATCCATTTGGCAAGAAGCAGGAGTATCGCTCACCCCAAAGACTCCCGTAGGACAGAAAGAAGTGCCCCCTGAGTGTCCTGGCTTGTACACGTAAAAAGGAGTAGAAAGCCTCATCTTTCTCCTGCGGAACAGCTGTTTGGCTCAAACTGCTGACCTTATGGTTAGGGGCCCAACTTGTAACCCACTCTGACCAGGGCTCCCTAAGGCGATGGCTACAGGGACCATATTAAGTAATTCACTGTGGCACACTGGCATCTTGGGTCCCAAGCTCCCTACTACCCCATGCCTCATGGTCAGAAACACTGCATGTTCGTGGCATGAGAACATCAAGAGGAAAAGACATCTTTCTGACCCTGGGGGAGGGGGATGGTCTATCTCAGCTGACCTGTCTGACACTCAACTCTGCCCTTCATAGAAGTATGATTGTGAATTTTACTAAGAGACCATTCACAAAATCCCCATGGGGCTGATGGGAACCGGAAGCAGGAATTTAGCATGGAAATTCCTACAACTCCATAACAAATGACACGCCAATTTAAAAAGGGGAGGGGGCAGACCCATCACCAAAACCCCCCACAAAAACATGAAGGTCAATAGCACAGGAAGAGGTGGCTCAACAGCATTGGGAATCAAGGAAATGCCATTTGAAACCACAGTGAGATCCCGTTGTTCTACAGTGCTGTGGAACCAGCTCTGGCTCACAGTGACCCAGAGGCCAGTCTGGAGTATGAGAAGGTGCGGGGTCCTACACCATCCTAAGAACTGTCATGGTGTTTGAGCCCAGCATTGCAGCCACAGGTCAATCTATCTCATGGAAGGGCCCTTTCTCCACTGACCCTTTGTTTTAGGCAAGCATCATCATGTCTTTCTGCAGTGATAGACAAAAAAGACCCCAAAGTTGAGAACACCAAACGTGTACAGGAGGATGTGGAATAACGGACTCTCCACTCGCTGTTACGGAGTCGATTCTGACTCCTGCGACCCTGGAGGGCAGAGTAGAGCTGCCCCTGTGAGGCTCTGAGGCTGTCCATCTGTACGGAAGTAGAAAGCCTCATTTTCCTCCCCACACTTTATTAGGAGTATACAAGGACACAGATGTCTTGGAGAAAAGTCTGGCAGTTTCATCTACCCACCAAGTCTATACTTAGATCCTTACCGGAAGAAAAGGGATAACTTCTATCTATAAAGTAACTTGTACAGCAGTCTGTTGTTGATGATAACCAAAATGCTGAAAGTGCTTGCCTGTCCAGCAACAGGAGAATGGAGAAGCAATTATATCCACACAATGTAATACCATTCAGCCCTAAAGAACGAACTGCGGATGCCTGCAAGCCCATGCTTGGTTCTCTCCAAGACTCTCCAAGCAGAAGAATTCCTACACACAAAGGAAACATACGATCTGATTTCCTTTATTAGAGGTTTCCAAAAACAAACTAAATTCACTGCCATCGAGTTGATCCCAACTCATAGCGGCCCTGTAGGGCAGGGTAGAACCGCCCCTGTGGGGTTCCGAGACTGCAACTCTTTATGGGAGTAGAAAGCCTCTTCTTTCTCCTTACATGGGGTTTAGAATATGCTAAACTAATCTTTAGTAGGTAAAAATCACAAGAGTGCTTGCCCCTGGAAGGGGAGGGAGCGGTAAGAATTGACCTGGAAGAAGCAATACGAATGACTTATTTCGTAATGTTTTGCATCTTGGTGGAAGAGCCCTGCGGCCACAGAGATTCAGCGAGACACTGCTAATGAGTGGAAAGTTCAAATCCAGCACCCACTCTGGGATAAAATGAGGCACTCTTCTTCCATAAAGGTCACAGCCTCCGAAACGCTGAGGGCAGTTCCTGTGGCCTCCAGGGCTGATACAGGTCGTATTGGACTGGATGACAATGGTTTCCTTAGTCTGTTTGGGACTGGTATCTTGATTGGTTCACACCTATCCAGTTGGCTGTGATGGGGTCTATCTTGGCTGACCCGCTTGACACCAAAATCCGCTTTTCATAGAAGTAGATCACTTAGGCAGGTGCATGCATTTATCAAAATTTTGTGTTTCACGGTATGTAAGTTTTACAGTCAAAAGAAAACAAACAAATCCAAGTGAAGGATTTAAGTATTTAGGGGGAAATGCCTGCAATTTACCTTGGAATGTATGACTATGTAGGATGGTCGGAGTCATGGCTGCAGGGACGAATAAGTGATGCAGCAGGCACAGGAGAGCGTGAATGGTGGTGGGGAAACAGGTGCTCATGGTTGGCGCCTTTCACCCTTGCTCCTAACGGAAGGGCCAGTGAGCTAGGGCTTTGGCAGGAAATCGTGCCACAAGAGCAGCGAGAAGGGCGTAGGGCCGAGCTCCCGGAGATACTAGAAGTAGAGACAGGGCTGCTCTAATAGAACTAAGGAACCTTCTACTGTGGCTTCCCAACGAGCAAACGGATTTAGAACGGCTTCCGGGGTTTTCGTGACGTCACCGGAAGCGGATATCTGCCGCGCTTTCCCATTGGCTGCTGGCCTTTGGCGGGGGCGGGCACACCGGGGGAGCGGAAGCAGCTGCCGGCATGGCGGCGGCCGTGCCGCTGGCCGCGCTGGTCCTGCTGCTCCTGCGGCCGGGGGCCTTGGGCCGTGCGGAGCCCCCGCGCGACAGCTTGCGGGAGGAGCTCGTCATCACCCCGCTGCCTTCCGGGGACGTAGCCGCCACGTTCCAGTTCCGCACGCGCTGGGATTCGGAGCTGCAGCGGGAAGGAGGTGAGAGGAAACGCCGGCGCGGCACCTGCTGGGCTGGGGGGAGGGGTCACGTCTCGCGGCGGGCCCTGTCCCAGGGCGCGCGGGGGTGTTGTCTGGCTGTGGGGACCAGTGCTGGGGGGAGATGGGGTGGTTACTGAGGAGGCCCATCCTGCCCTAGGGGTCACTATGAGTCGCAATCCGCTGCATTGATTCCGACTGAATCAATGAGGTTGGTCTGTTCATTGAGGCAGCCCGTTGAACCGATGGTGAAACCGAGGCCTGGAGAGGGACAGCGACGTGTGACCCCTCGTCCAGGGCTTTCCCCGAAGCTCCGGGCAGCATTGCTGCCGCCGCTGCTGCTGGCAGTCCCACTGACCAGGGTGCTTAGCACAGTTCTTAATGCAGTAAAAGACGACACGGAAAAAATCAAGGCCTAGGGAGGTGAAGGGACTTGCCCATGATCACGTCGTCAGTGCTTACCGGGTCTGGAATCCAGATCTCTCTCACTGGGATCCCAGGGCCGTGTGAAGGAAGGCCCCAACTTTCAGATTCTTCATCCCCTGCTCCCCCTCCCCCAGTGTCTCATTACAGGCTCTTCCCCAAAGCCTTGGGGCAGCTGATCTCCAAGTATTCTCTGCGGGAGCTCCACCTGTCACTCACACAAGGCTTCTGGAGAACCCGATACTGGGGACTCCCCTTCCTGCAGGCCCCTTCAGGTGCAGAGCTCTGGGCCTGGTTCCAAGACACCGTTACTGAGTGAGTGTCCACTTTGGGCCCTGGTGAGCATGGCAGCGAAGGCGCTGTCATCTTGCACTGCCTGTAGGGACAGCAGTTCCAGCAGACAGCAGTCCCGTAGCTGGTGCTGGAAGTAAGGAGTGCTATTCCCACTGAGCGGTATTCTATGCTGGATACACTTTCTCATTCTGCTGCCCCCAGACCTGAGCTGGCACGCACACATCCCCGTGGAGGCAGAGAGCCGATGATTCCGCAAAACAAAATCGAAACGAGTGCTATTGAGTCAATTTCCCTCGCACTGATCCAGTGTAGGGTTTCCGAGACAGGCCCCACCAATTTTGAGATCAACAGCCCCAACGTGGAGCTCACAGCGCCAAACTGGAGAACTTTAAAAAGGGCCTTCAGAGTCGAGTCGATGATAACACATACTCAGAAAGCCAGCTAGAACACATTTGTGGACTAGACTGTCCTCCAGCGTGCCTGTATTAGTCTGGGTAGACTAGAGAAACAAATCCATGGACACACGTGTATAAGGGAGAGGTTTACATACAAGAGGAATTGAACATTGAGAAAACATCCCAACCCAGTTCAGTCCAAGGCCATAAGTCTGATATTAGTCCATATGTCCGATACCAATCTATAAAGTCCTCTTCAAACTCACAAAACACATGCAGTGAAGCCAAATGCAGGACAATCACAAGCCAGTGGGTAGAAAGTCTTTGGGTCCAGTGGCGTTGTAAGCATCTCAGCGCTGGCAGGGGTCTCTCTGTGGCTTCTCCAGCATCAGAGGTCTGGTTGCATCCATGTGGCTTGTCTTCTGCAATGTCTCCCAGGGAGCAGCAGAGAGAGAGAGGTGTCATCTGCCTCTAAGGAGGAAGTACCAGATTTCCCAGAATTCTCAGCAAAAGCCATGCCCACAGAAGTCTCATTGGCTATCTCCAGATTGACAGCCTAGACTCCACCCCTACACTCTTAATCCTTAAATTGACACCAGATTAGGTGACTCCCACAGTGCCCGTTGGTGATTTCCATCTTAGAGGAATGGCTTTTGCCTGGAGAGGGGTGGTCCAGTCATTGCTGTTGTACCACAAACAATGTCCCCCAGGGCCTGCTGGCATCCTCCTACGTAGAGTAGAACCTCTCCACGCCATCGCATAGCCATCTCCAGGCACAGGCTGGTGAAAGGCTGGGGTGGGCAGAGCCACGACAGCACGGAGAAGGTCCTGGTTGAGGGGAACAGGGAAGGCCTCGGGAGCTGGAAGATGGGCAGAGGGATGCATGCGCCTGAGGGGAGACAGGTGGGTACGCAGGGGGGTCCAGAGGAGCGTAAAGGGGCCAGGGGGGCGGGGGTGCAGGTCGTTCTCCACTCTGTGCTAGGCTTGTCTGAGGGCTAAGGACACACAGCCTTCTCCCTCTGTGGGCTTGGCTGGGGAGGGCCCCGCGGCAGCTGGGCCGGCATGTGGCTCTGTGTCTCCTTCCAGTGTGGATACGTCCTGGAAGGAGCTCAGCAACGTCCTCTCGGGGACCTTCTGCGCCTCGCTCAACTTCATTGACTCCACCAACACCGTCACCCCCACGGCCTCTTTTAAGCCCCTGGGACTGGCCAATGGTGAGAGGGCCCTCAGCTCATTGCCCTCCCCCATACCCCCTCCTGGGCTGGGTCATAGAGCTCCTGGCATGGGGTCCCCAGAAGGCTCCCGGGGGTTCTGCTTGCAGCATTGCCTGCTCCCAGGGAGGAAGGGGCACCCTCTGGACTGACAGATAGGTGGGAGGCAGCTGGGGTTATTACTATGTCTGGGGGATGTGTCTGAGGGTGGCTGCCTGGGCCTCCACAGACACGGATCACCACTTCCTGCGCTATGCCGTGCTGCCCCGGGAAGTTGTCTGCACGGAGAACCTCACCCCGTGGAAGAAGCTCCTGCCCTGCAGCTCCAAGGTGTGAGGCGGGGGAGCGCAGATAGGGGAGGAACCCCCAGAGGCCCTGGGCTGTGGTGCGGAACACTGAACTGCTGCCTCCTCTCCCCTCGCCAGGCAGGCCTCGCTGTGCTGCTCAAGGCTGACCGCTTGTTCCACACCAGCTACCACTCCCAGGCCGTGCACATCCGCCCCGTGTGCAGAGTGAGTCCTGTACTGGGGGTGGGCCCCTCAGGGAGCCTGGGGCCCAGCGTCTGGCACACTTGTCACAGGGCACGGCCGACAGTAGTGGCAGGGGCGGCTGGCATTGCCTGGTGCTGTCATTTCATTAGCCTGCACTTTGGCTTCCCCTTGGTCAGACTTAGACAGCATTGGCTCTCAGGTCGAATGCTGGATGGTCATCGCACTGTGCACGTCCGTCAGCTGGCTCTGGGTTATCTGTTGGTGGGCGGGAACACTCAGGGCATTGGGGGCTGGGTGCAGGGGCGTCCCTGGGGTGGGCGGCACATGCAGCAAGTTCACTCTGCCGCCTGTTGCCCTGTGGCAGGACTCCCGCTGTGCCCGAGTCTCCTGGGAGCTGAGGCAGACACTGACGGTGGTGTTTGATGCCTTTGCCACGGGGCAGGGGAAGAAAGGTGAGCCACCTCTGCGCCGCCCACCCGCCCGCCCTCAGCTCCCCAGCCCGGGCTCAACCCTGCATCCTGCCCACAGACTGGTCCCTCTTCCGGATGTTCTCCTGGTCCCTGACAGAGCCCTGTCCCCTGGCCTCAGAGAGTCGCATCTACCTGGACATCACCAGCTCCAAGCAGGTACCACAGGCCTCCAGTCAGACCCTGCCACCGCCCAGCCCGCCTAGCTGCTCGCCGTCACCCCTGCCCTGTGTCCCTAGGACAATGAGACCCTGGAGGTGAGCCCGCCCCCCACCACCACGTACCAGGCCACCGTCCTGGGCACCCGGAAGACCTACGCGGTCTATGACCTGCTCGACCCAGCCCTCCTCTCCAGCTCCCGCCTCCTCAACCTCCAGCTCAAGTGGAAGAGGCTCCCGGAGAATGGTGAGCGGGGGCCCCCAGCCCCCGGCCCCGTGGGCATTCTCAGCGGCAGGTCCACGGTCCTACTTCTTCCCCATCAGATAATATAGTGCAAAGGGCTGTGGTTTGACCCGGATCCCAGAGTCAGATGCTCCTGGTTCTCACTCCGGCTTGCCCCAGTTTCGTGACGGGGCAGATTTGGAGCCCCAGTGTCCTCTGCTCTGCCGGAGAGGACCGTAAGGCCCAGCAGGTGGTGTAAGAATCAAAACAAAGCCACCTAGACCACCTCACTGTCACGTCCGCTCCCACTCAGGGTGACCCTAAGGACAGACTAGAACTGCCCCTGTGGGTTCCGAGACTGACTCTTTACAAGAGCAGGAAGCCTGGTCTTTTTCATGCGGAGTGCCTGGCAATCTCGAACGGCTAACCTTAGCAGCCCACACATGTAACCACTATGCCACCAAGCCGGTCAACCAAACACCAAACTCAGTGCCGTCGAGTTGATGCCGACTGACGGTGACTGTAAAACACAGGCTTCGTTGGCACCGTCATTCACCACACTCGGGTCTGAGCCCCTCTGCGGTGGGGAAGACAGGAAACTGCAGGTGAGGCGCGTGCCTCCTGCGCATAGTCACCATGACCCAGGAAAGGCCAGGGCCTGGCCAGCAGGGGTTCTGAGCTCACTCAGAGCAGGAGAGGCCCATAGCTTATAGCAGTGATCTTGCGATTGATGGGCCTGGCTCGTGTGCTGGAGAAGACTTAGATGCTTCCGGAACCTGGCTTCCCAGTTCTCCCAGCGGGCTTTCCCTGTCTACTCTCTAGAGGGCTTTGGGATGTTGCGTGGGGTCTGGGGAGGGGGTGCTCTTCAGTCAAACTCAGTGACCCCTTGTGAGGCTGTCTGCGTGGAAGCAGATGGCCACCCTGGGCTTTCTCCCCGGGAGCCCGCAGGCGAAGTTGAACTGCCCATTGGAGTTAGCAGCCAATCACAGCCCTTGCTCCCCCAGGATTCCTCGCCCATCCCTTTAGGAGCTGACGGCTGACTCTCCTCCCCACAGAGGCCCCGCCCGTGCCCTTCCTGCATGCCCAGCGCTACGTGAGCGGCTACGGGCTGCAGAAGGGGGAGCTGAGCACGCTGCTGTACAACACCCACCCGTACCGGGCCTTCCCCGTGCTGCTGCTGGACACTGTGCCCTGGTACCTGCGGCTGTACGTGCACACGCTCACCATCACCTCCAAGGGCAAGGAGAACAAACCAAGTGAGGAGGAGTGAGCTCCGGAGGCCCCCCACGTCCCCAGTCTCTGAGACGATCTCTGATGCAGGCAGCCAGAGCGGCAGCTGGAGAGCGTGACCTCCAGGGTCAGATTTGGAAGCTGTCTGTGAAAAATATCTACGTGTCTGTACGCACAGGTGGTTCTCAGTGGAGCCCTGGGCGGCCAGGCCGTGGCACCCTGATCTTTTTCCCTGGCGTCTCTGTCTTCCTGGATCCTGGGCACAGCCTTGTGCCCGGGGATTGTCCAGCGACTGGCTGCAGGGCTGGCCGCCGCCTGGGTTTGGAGCAGAGGAGCCGGCAGCACTGGAGCACATGGGGTTTGCATCTTTGAAGCGGGGACGAGGCGCTTTTTCCTTTCCGTTTCTTGACTCTAAGGTGGAGTTCTAAGTCTGTGCTTCACAGTACCGAAGCACGTGTCTTTTAAGGGGTGCGAGGGTCAGGGGGCCCCAATCCAGAAAAAGGCCCTTTAGCAAAAGGTTCTACCACATTGCTTCACACCTTCACCTGCCTCTGGTTGCCCTGCCGCCTTCAAGCCTGTGGGTCGGACTTTCTGCTTTCCTCAGACCATAGTCAGCCCCAGCCATCTTGCCTCCGTAGTCAGGCTCGTTCATTTGTTTTTAAAAAGGTTCATGATACCTTTTCTTCTGGGATGTCCTAACACAGACCCCAGCCCTTGCCCATCACCTGTTCACCAGCCCCGCCTCTTCACTGTCACCTGTCTCCCCCTCCTCCCCGCGCAGTGTTTAATTTGCAGGGTTTTCTCTGGGCGTGTCTTGCGTTCTTAGCTAAGCTCCTCCTCCGAGTGTTTTACTTGGTGCCGTGGGAGCGTCTGTGGCAGAACACGCACCAGTACAGCAGCTCCAGGCAGGAGTCGTGGAAAAAAGCCCCAGGCGGCGTTGCCAGGCCCCTGTTTGCACTTGAATGTGCCTCCCCAACTGCTCAGGCCTGTACAGAGTTGAGGTGCCACCATGCTTACCCCTGTCCACCCCTGTGGGCCTAAAAATACCTTTGTGGCATCTGCCTGGGCATTTGCTCTCTCAGTCTCTTACGCTTATGCTCACTTTTGTCTGTCTGTCTGTCTGTGTACATGCCCTTTGTCGGGAAAGCTGGGTCCTGTGTAGCGTGGCATCTGCACATGCTGCTGTCAGCATGGACTCCGTGACCTCCGTGTCTTGAATGTGTGGGTGGGGAGACTTAGGCAGAAGCTTGATTTGATTCCGGGCCCTAGAAAGCATCCCCCTGGTCCTCGGGGGTCAGCCAGCTGGTGGCACAGGTGTGGCCATGTGAAGGCCTGTCTGTGACTCTTGACACCTCTTCTTAGGAAGCATCCTCTGTCATCCCAGAACCTGTCGGCTCTGATATCCACAGCCAACCTTCTAGATCCGCCCCCTCGTGTCCCCCCCCCCCCAACAGCCCCAGAGCCCCAGGGCAGGTAGGAGGGAGCAGGTGTGGGTGACCCTTGCCTGTGTCCCAGGTTACATCCACTACCAGCCCGCCCAGGACCGGCTGCAGCCCCACCTGCTGGAGATGCTGGTTCAGCTGCCGGCCAGCTCCGTCACCAAGGTCTCCATCCAGTTTGAGAGGGCCCTGCTGAAGTGGACCGAGTATACCCCAGACCCCAACCACGGCTTCTATGTCAGGTGTGCCCCTCCCCGCCACCTGCCCCTCCCTCACTGCCCTCGCTCTCTGTCCCCGGTGGGCAACCTTGTCTGCTTCCCTGCAGCCCGTCGGTGCTCAGCGCCCTTGTGCCCAGTGTGGTGGCCGCCAGCCCAGAGGACTGGGAAGAGAGTCCCCTCTTCAACAGCCTGTAAGTGGGATTCCTCCTGCCTATCTGAACCTCTGCCGCTCCCCGCTGCTGGCTGCAAGGTTGCAGGGTGCCCCTTAGTTCCAAAAGGCCAGCCTGGGGAGAGCCGGGACTTCCTTGCTGGGCATCTGACCCGAAAGCCTCCCCTCCGGTACGACCTCTTCCCACCTGGCCAGCAACCCCTCCCCCTTCTGCTCTGCCACCCTTGGGGTTGCCCCGAGCCACGTGGACTCTCTGGCTATTCACCCTGCCTCCCAGGCAGCATATTCCAGTAGCTCCGTCCGTAGGAAGCTCGCTAATCGTCTGTGGCATGCTCAAAGGCTTTCTGAAGTGATTCTGAAGAACACCTCCAACTGCACATGGGTGGGAAGAGCAGTCCTGAGCGCGTCCGGCCCCCCCCCCC